TTTGTGCTGAAACGTTTCACCTTCGATCCAGAAGGCTTCATCAGTCAAGGAAACACAACAAAACTGATTCTTCCTCCAACAGCTTACTCTAAAGTGGAGCAAATCAGTTCTGCTTGTTTGTTCCACTTTAGAGTAAGCTGTTGGGGGAAGAATCAGTTTTGTTGTGTTTCATTGACTGATGAAGCCTTCTGGATCGAAGGTGAAATGTTTCAGCACAAAAAAAGACACTGTCCAGATGACCTGACTGAAAAATGTTGGATAAAAAAAAACACGTTTTAATGGAGTCCAAGCGTCTTACCTTTTTATACTGTGGATTCAATAAATCATTGAAAGAGTAGGAAAACTGCACGCACAGACTTTGATTTGCACCTTTGTCCACAATTGTTACTTTTGATCCAAGAATTTTGTAAATTGTTGCTGTGAACAGAAACAAGCATAAATTATTTTAATAAACCTTTCTTTCGTATTGTATTCTGTTGTTAGTTTGAGCCAACTATACTATACAAGTCGCAGTAAAAACTACACTGCAGCTACAATTATAACATGGATCACTGGTTGTAAGAAATACTCACCATCAGCCTGCATTTCCCAAACCATGTTCATCACAGCAACTTGCTCATGGTCATCTGATCTGATCTCTATTTGCTCTGAATGCCATAACGGACCCGTAGGAGCCTCTAACCGTGGAACCCTGTTCATCCCTGAGCAGTTATCTGATATGTAGATGTTTCAGGTTAATACACCTCATGCACATTTTACTGACGTTCACAAACAAGTTTAAAGAGAATAACGTCAGTTTACTAAAGAACTGAGCTTTAGTGTATTTTGAGCTGCTGTATTTGTCTTTTGTTTCTCGTTTTTATCATTAGTAGATTAAAAGTTTAATTAGTAAAGCAAAATATTAAACTTAAAGTGCTAGGTTTATTAAACCAGGGGGCAGGTCAAGTTCAATGTCAACCCAACAAAATAAGCAGCAGTTAATTTAAACACTGTAGGATGATCCTAATAAGTATACCAATTCAACATATAGCTAATATTCCCACTGCTGGGTAGGGACTTGGACAGATGGGTCACATAAATACATTTTCTAGCCCAAATCTTTCAGCTTACATTAAATTTATTTAATCTTAAAGATAATAGCACAACATATTGTCTCTCTTCCAGGATTATGTTAAGGTTAGGAGCCGTTTAATCATTCTAGTAAATAAAATTAGCACCTAAATTTAATTAAACTGATTTGACAGAGAAAGTACTTACGAAGTTTGCAGCAGGAAAGACCCTGAAATAACACAAGATAAAACAAAACACACACAACACTTTTATGAAAATCTGATGAACTTTAAAAAAAAACTACTTTCAAATATAAACTGAATTAAAGCTTCACCGTTTGGTTGCAGTTCAGGAGCTTGCCCAAAATCCTAAAAGAGGACGATGATGTTAGTCCAGAAGTTAAACAAAGAACCCAAAATGAAAAATATAACATTGTAGATCGTGAAGCTAAAAGTTTCAAGCAGAAAACAATATAATAAACTGAATCAGGGAATCATGAGTTGAGTGGTTTTGACAAATATAAAGGTGAAAGTGATGTAAATTCACATTGTACGATTTTTATCAAGTAGCATCTGAGTGACAGGAAGGAGGCGTTCTCAAATGTGGTTTATAGCTTCCATTCTCACCGATGACAAAGGGTTGCAGCATGGCTCAGCTGTCAACAGATTGTAGTGGACTAGGCCCATGTCAAAACTAAGTCTAAGGTCAAAAATCTTGACCTTAAGAACCTTGTGGGACAGGAACTGTCATTTCATTGATTTGAATCCAGAAATACAGGTTCACCCATCCTGAGACTTTCTTTCCTGAAGATTCAAGGGAAAAGAACACTCTCTTTTATTATCATTACTATTTTACAAATGTTGATAATCAAAATGTCTTAGGTCAAACCATTTTAGATGTTGCAGTGAACTAATCTATTTTATTAACTGTGTAATGATTTTTATTCTCATGCAAAGTTAGAACTCATGTCAAAGCTGTTACAGAGTAATTATGCTTTTTCTGATTTCTGCTTTTGAATGAGCAAGTGTACGTTGGTCCAAGGTTGGAGTCAAACGCAAAACAAGTTGTTGGAACGAACTGTCATGTTTTTAGAATCCTCTCAGACGTAAATATAGAGGTTTTGGCACCTGTTTCTAAACTCGCCAAAACAAAACTCTCTCTGTCTGTGAGAACATTTCTGATCTGTTTCATAACAATTCTTGCTGTCTTCTAACCTCTTACGTCACAAAACACACCCCGTCTGGTTGTTTCTGACTAATGGGAATACTCCCAAAAGTGAACCGGGAAAGAGCTCTTTAAAATGTCGGTACTTCCTGGTCTATTAAGTTCTGTTGGGTGCAGTTAGCAGTTCTGTTGAAGCTCTGGAGAAGTTCTGTTGAGTTCTGCTAGTTGGAGAAGTTCTGCGGCGCGGACAGTGCTGATATGTCCTAGCGCTGGACAGTTCTGTGAGAGACGGGATGATCCTGACATGACAACAGAGCTCTTCCGAGTTCCATGGGATTATAACATTTTCACTCGCCACTACTTCTGACGATTCACAGCATCCTAAGGAGACGCTGGACAGGTAGCGTTAACGGAGCTCCATATCTGCTGATTAACCTCAGAAAGGTAATGAGTCAAGTTTCCTACCAAGCGTACCGGGGAGAGCTGGGTTCTGATGGAGAGTGTCAATTCTGGTGAACACTTCCCCTCCCATACCATCTTTACTCCCTCTAAACTTCTTTCCCATCTTTAAACTTTTCTATCAAGTAGAAATTCTTCCAGATATTTAGAAATGTCTGTGTAAAATGCTCATCCACATCCGTGTGGGTAAAAGATCATAATTGTACAGTTTCATAAATGTCTGTGGTGAAGCAACGGAAAAATCATGGCCGTATGATTTTTCCTGATTGATTGCTTATGTTGTTATTTTCATAATTTGCCAAATTAATGTAAATGTTTGATGTTAAACTTTGATTCTGTAAATAAATGACCGCATTCATTTTGATGGGTCAAATATAAATGACGTCTCACGTTTGCATTTCATTAAATTCAATGCACGTTTTATTCAGTTCAGAAAAATGAGGAATCCGCGTTAATTGATGAATATATCCGAGCATCTGTTCATCTACAAGATTGCACTGCAGGGTGGAGGTTTTTCCTCCAGCAGTGTGTGCGTGTGCTCTGCACTGTAGATTAACACTCACAACTTTTCAAAGCATCACAGTCTCCAGAGGGCGGTAGCTGACAAGGTTAGTGATAGAAAATGTTCCTGTTTCTGCAAGAACACAGTTTAATGACTGGAAACAGGTTCAAGTAATTATTTAATCGTCACTTAAAGGGACAGTTATTGTGTGTGTGTTTAACTGCCAGTAGCATTTGCAAACTTTCTCACGAACTCCTGACAAATTTGATTAAAACTTGAAAACAGTCATTTGATGAACATCTGCAGCTGAATAACTGTTGGAGTAAAGCACCATTCAAGATGGCCACCACAGTTATTCAACATTAGTAACTTCTAAATTACTTTAATTCAGTCAATTTAACAAATGTTGAGCCAAAATTGGACACATACTCTGATGCTGACATCTTGCGATCTTGCAGTTATTTTCAAGGTTTGACCAAAACGGTGTCGGGTGAAAAAGGAGAGTCCCAGAACAGACCGAGGTGTAGTTCATCAGATTTATGTACAAAGTTTTGGAGAGCAGTGCAGCATTCACAGAACATGCAAATACAAGATTACACTTTTATCAGTGCTCTCATCCATGTGAAACCCTGACCTGCTCTAACTCTCTGGACCAGACCAGTTAGTTTTATAGAATAATCTTCCTGGCCAGCCCTCAGCCCCTCCTCTACATGTCTGAGTCATCATCCAAGGGTCCGCTGTAGGCATGAAGGAGTGGATCTGAGTCAAGATCTCTGCTTGAGAGACATCCCCATATCATATCAACGCTATCTTATCAATGTACCAGTTATTTCTGCTCCTCACTGATTTGTCACAGTAGGAGTGATTACACGGGATTGTTAATATCACACATCACAACATGAGAAGAAGGACGTTGCAGAAGGTTCACACAGGAGTTATTGATCATGATGAGTGCAAATAATACACATTATACTGACAACGGCACAGCTCGTTCTTTCTCAGCAGAAGTCTGGTATGAAAACAGACTTGCACCAAGTACTCCTTGAAGGGATGTTAGGTCTTTAAAAATAAATAATTAATGGAAAAAATAAATAAATAATAAAATAAAAATATTTTGAAATATATGTATATATTTTTTTTAGTTGCGTAAAATAAGTATTTTATAGTTAAGGTTGACTGAAGTGGTTTCGTTCAACGACGTTGTCTGATTGGTGATGTAATTCCGCCCTGGGGTGCAAAAATTTTTGCCCATAGACTCTCATTAAAAGTTGTACATGCGCAGTAATTCCTCTTCAATACAAGAGACTAGGATCATTCTGGGCGCACCTCTCCTGCGCCCAGAGCTGAATGCATGGTACTGATCGTGACACTCACAACCAGGGTATGTATGAGCTGCTGGAGGTAGGCTTTAAGCCATTGAAAGCCCTTTATCTAATGCCTCTGTTTCCATTTCTGACTGATACGCCTCTCAACTTGTAGATGTCTCTGTTTGTGAAAAAACCTTCAGCTGACTGTATTCTAAAAGTGAGAACTGGTGAGTTTGTTTGTATGTTTCTGGAGACAGCACGCTAGCATTAGCCTCCAGGTTATTGTATTGGGCTCTGTGATAAACCAGTGCTATTGCTACATTTATTTGAATGTGCTTATATAAAAAATAATGATAAACATTAATACTATATCACTGATGGTGTTATGCTATTTCTGAACATCTGCATTTCTATTGAGCTGGATAATAAAAAATAAGCCTCTTGCGATAAATATCTAGCTCCTAGTGTTGTTAGTATTAACATATGAACAAAAAGATGCAAGCTGCATGAAGTAATTACAAATTTTGCACATTAAAACCTTGTTAGTGAACTTAAACCCAATTATACATTTCTTTTTTATTTCCAGAATTACTTATGGCAAGGTTATGTGATATATCAAAATATCTGTCTCCATAGTATGAACACAGAGAGCCAACAAGGCATTCAGTATTTTGACCACTAAAACCTCTAAGTGTCCAGCTTCGTTAACAGGGATTACTTCCTGCAGTGCAGAAATGTAGCTGTAGCTGTGTTAATTCTTGTCACTTTGTCTCAGAGTTATTGTGTCTCCTCCTGGACAATGAGGTCAGTTGTATCAGGTTTCAAACCACGAGACAAACACACAGACTGCCTCTGAAATCCTTCCAAATATCCTGCAAAGGTGATATTGATGTGTCCAACCTTTGCAGTCATGGTACAAAAACTGGAGTGGCATTTTATTCCCAACATAACTAGAGAAATTACATTTCCTGCGAAAATGTAGTGTGGATGCTTATTGCAGAAGAACTTGCTGAAAAACAGTTGAAATTAGCTAAAAACATTCTGAATTGTAGCTGAAATGGAAGAACAAGCCTAATTTAGCAGAAGAAAGCAGAAAGAACACATATTTGGTGAATTAGGTTTAAAGAAGCAGAAATTAGCACAAAAATTAGCAAATTGGCTAAAAAAGCTGAAAATGGCTAAATCAATTAATTCAATGAACAAAAGAATTCAATGAAATTAGCTAAATTAAAATAGCTGAAAAGTAGCTGCAAAGGCAAAAAAGAAGCTTAAACTACCAGAAGGAAATGGAAAGAGCTGAAATGAGCTAAAAAATGTGGAATTAACTGAAAAAGCTAAAATTAGCATAAAAAGAGCTAAATAGTAGCTGAAAGAGCAGAAATTACTGAAACTAGGAGGAAAAAGCTGAAAGTGGATATTATCTGAAAAAAAGCTGAAATTAGCAAAAACCTGCTGAATAGTAGCTAAAAAGGCAGAAAGAAGCTGAAATTACCAGAAGGAAGTGGAGAGAGCACATTTTCGCTGAATTAAGCTGAAACAAGTTGAAATGAGTGCAAAAATATGGAATTAGTAAAAAAAAAAAAAGCTACAATTAGCATAAAAACTGCTAAATAAAAGCTGAAATAGCAGAAAAAGCTGAAATTTGTAGAAATAATCTGAAAGGAGCATAAACTGAAATTAGCAGAAAGAAGTTAAACGGAGCACAAAATAACTGAAATAAAAAATAAAACCAGCTGAAATTAGCAGAAAATAGCTGAAAACATTTACATTTACACAAGGAAGCTGAAAGAAGCTGAAGCAGAACCAAATATGAAAGAAGCAGTAAAAGGTTGTAAACGAGCTGAACGTTTTGATTGATGATTTGTTGAAATGGCACAAAAACTTCAGAACAAGAAAGGTGCCGTAAACTTACAGAAGAAAAGAGAATCACAATAGTGTGAATGCTTCAAAAGCGTAAAAATACATTTTGTTCAAAGAAGTTGTCTCTGGTGTCATGACATGGTACATTTAAAAATATTTTGACAGAGTATTTAACTCTTTGATTTATTCCAGAGAACTATTTTGGATTTAAACTATTTTTGGTTATCAGGCTCCTCTGTTGTGGAGTCGCTCCAGTTTTTATCCATGAGGCTGACACTCTGTCTACTGTTATAAGTAGGCTTAAAACTTTCCTTTTTGATAAATCCTATAGTTAGCATTGGCTCAGGTTTCCTAAGCCATCCCTTAGTTCTGCAGCTATAGGCTTAGACAGCTGGAGGACAAACGGACCACATTTCCTCACTCCGCATCTGTTTTTTCTCTCTCTACTCTCCATGTTTGCATTTGTTTTGATTCTCATAGAAACAACAACATGCCCAATACTTTGTACTTGTTTACTCCGTCCTGTCCTCTGAACACCCAGATGATTTTGACAGAACACCTATCCTTAGCCCGGTTCTGGTTCTACTGAAGCTCTTTTTGTTAAAACAGCATCTTTCTGTTCACCTATGTGCTGATTCAGGATGAGGAAATGGCTTCAAAGTGAAGACTGTACAAAGTGTTTGTTTCTTTAAAAGTACAACCTTGTCCATAATTAGTATTTTGTGATACATTGAATGAAATTGGACTTCATGATATTAGCGTTGAATCTAAATCTATTTGTTCTTAACTGAATTGAACTGCACTCTAGTATGAACTGGAACAGTTGAGTGTTTTTGTTTAGTGCCTTGGGATGACTTCGGCTGTGAATGAGCCTGTTTTTACTGTATAAACTGAACTGAATTGCGTATACAAAAGATGATAGCTGCAGCTGGACACATGTTTTTGTGTAAGATGAGTGAATCAATGTATGACAGAAACCTTATGCATGTGTCTGTGACCTATTTATGCATCTTAACCATTATTAAACAAAACGTTCTAGTAATAAATGTCTTCTCTTTTACGCCCATGAGAAGTAGAATTTTAGGCTTAAAGCTGTACTACAATTAGTCATCTCCACAGTAGTCATGTCTGCATTGTATGTTACAAGAGCATTTACAGATAGGAAATAAAACAGATGGAAACTTTCCGTAACTTTCTAAAGCCAGATATTAGACCTGAACTGCCACACTGTTTTTTTTTTAGATAAGCTAATTTCCCGTCTCTAAAAACAGCAGTCTGTCTTCCGGCAGGCCTTGGTTCAGACTGGATGTCCTGATTTATGATTGTATTTCCTTAAAAAAGTTTATTATTTTGAGACCAGTACAGTAAATCACTGATGACAAAAGACAAACATCCCATCCTCGACCCCGACCCCCTTTTTTTTCCAACTTTCAAAGCAACAGGTCACTCCTGCTGTCCTCTGCTCGACAACACCGTGACATAAATGTTAAAAGCAACTCGTGCCCCATCTTCATGGTATCTGCACAGAGGGTGGACCGGCTGTCGGCCAGACCAGAGCTGTCTGAGGTGTGTCCTTGTGCAGCACAATCACATGAAATAAATAGGCCATGGGTTGAGGGCAAATCCAAAAGGCATTGTGTTTTGAGAGTCAGGTGGACAGAGGTCTATTTTAAAGAGCCAATCGCAGTGCTTTGACAAGTTTCTCTTTTAATCATAAGAGTTTTTCTTTTACCTGATCAGCTGCTGAGCTGTTGGCCTGTCCGGTTTCCTCTCAACATTAAGGTGAGTCCAACTATCAAACCAAAACCAACTAAACAGAAGTAAAAACTTTGAAGTGTGTTGTGTACAACAATGGGAGCTCTCCCCTGCTGTCACATTGTCCTCACATCTATAGTTTATACTTGTCTGGCCAAAGTCAGTCTGTCGTTGCTGCAGTAATAAAAACTTCAAGTGTATCTACACGCCCCTGACATGTACTACACATGTATCAGGGGCGTGTAACACTCCGGTACTCCTGTGAGGCAGGCAGAGCCGAGCTGTTGTTTTATTGTCAAGGTCTTGATGTGGCTTTAAACATGGCAGCCTGTTCTTGACTTTCACTTCAACCTTCTTGGTGAATTCTTGCTCCGCTCCATTATAAAGAGCAACCTGAGCCAGGCTGACGGAGAACTGCTGACTGACGTGACAGGTGATCAGGGTTGGCTCGTATGAACAGGTGGATACGATTTTAAAGACTTTAAAAACGTGCTACCTTGAATTTCTCCTCCAACCATCACAGGACAATGTTAGAAACAGACAAACAAAAGCAGACATGAATGTATTAATATAATATTTCTATTTTAGTGTATTTGTATTTTTTCCAGAGTCATCACGGCCACTGCAGCGTCTGGTAAATGAAGAATGTGGTCACATATAGCAGCTCAACACCTCAGCCCCTTTTACAACAACAGAACAATTATCAGAACCTAAATTGATCAGAAAGTCCATTAGATTCAAAAACTAAATGGTTCAACAAATTAGACAAATGTACCAATCAAATAAAAATATATACTGGGAAAAATAGGCATTTTACAGATGAAAATGATTGGTAAATATATTTTTCTTTCTTTAAAGGAACTGCTGCCATGTCTGAGGGGTGAGTAACGACTTCATGCAGTCTACACATTTCCCAAGAGCGTTTTAAATGAATAAAAACAGAGAATAATTAAGAGCTGGCTCCATTAATGTTAATGTTGCTTGTTGTTAACACGCTTTTCTTGTTGTTTTTAATGTTCTTGGTGTATGTGACAACGAAGGCCGGTGAGTCAACATGTTTTTATCATAAACATATAAGTATATTATAGGTAATAATTTGAAAAATTGGTGTGAAATTTAAAGGCCATCATTAGATCTGTACATAAATGTTGTTTCTGTTTTTAGAGAAAGAAGAAGAAATTTGCAGCGACACGCCGGCTGCTCATCAAGGTCAGTCCTGAAGAGCTACAGACCATACCTTTAGTGTTTTATTTAATTATTTTTGAAGTCGTAATGTTTAGTGGAGTTCATTAAGGTCTAAAATATTTCAGTCCAAGCTGCTAACAAAGGCAGCTTCCATGCTGGTAGCTGAAACTGAGGAGAAAAATCTTGAGAAACAAAGAGTGGTGGACGAGTGTGTCCCGCCGCTGAAGCTGTCAGGTCTGTCAGTCCAGGAGCTCCAGGTACGCTTACAAAATAAAATCCAGTCATGCATAGTTATTAAGCAACCTTTAGACTGCTTTCTGTTCGTGTCTTCAGGAACTTTGCAAAGATTTGCACCAGAAGATTGATGTTGTGGATGAGGCCCGTTACGACATGGGAGTTAAAGTTGCCAAAAACGAGAGTGAGGTATGAACTCGTCCTCACTGATGTGCAGAGAGACTGTGGAGTTTTTCTGCAGCTGAGATGTTTTCCTTCACAGATTCAGTCACTAAAACATAAGATTATCGAGCTGAAGGGCATGAAGAAGCCCAGTTTAAAGAGGGTAAAGAAAACGACCGACGACATGCTGGGTGCGTGCACCGACACCTCCAAACTCATGAAGGCTGATTTCAAGGCCAACCTTAAGACAGTGAAGAAAGACGAAGACAAGGTAAAAAAAAAAAAAAAAAAAAAGTTCAAGTCATAAAGTAAACCAGAAAGCAATTTCCAGTTAATATCTCTTTTTGTATTTACAGAAGGAAGAAGTGACCGACTGGCGTAAGAATGTGGAGGCCCTGTCTGGTATGGAGGGCAGGAAGAAGCTGTTTAACGCGGGACAATGAGATGTTTTTTATGCTTAGTAACTCTTCATCTTCCCAACAGTAGCTCCAAGGTTGCATAACTCAAGTCCAAGAACTTTACCCCTTATTTTACTTTCTTTTGTCATTAAATAGGATTATTGTAAACATTGGAGAATGTTTAACTTTCATAATAAAATGAACCCATGAAACATTATTATATTTTGACTAAATGTAAATTATGTATAAGAATTAAACAGGATGTATAACTCTAGTAATAATACTAATAGTTTATCCAAAAGGACACAGTATTTTTTGTCTCTTTGATTAGGAAATGGCAGTTTTGCTTCATAAAGTGCAGAATTTGTATTATACAGAAGATGGCGCCACCTTCATTTCTGCAATATGACAAATAAAGAATTATGACAGAAAGAAACAATGCATTATTTAATTTTCTTTTTCTTTTAAGGATCAACGACAATCCTGATTTAACAGCCAAAGAGACTGTCCTGTATACTTTTTTTAATTACACTCTGCAGTTACAGCTAACACAGGACAAGATCTGCATGGTTTATGAAACAAATAGTTCACTATCTACAAATAGGTGGTTTTGTGCAACATGACAAATGTAAGAGACAGTGAAAAATGTAGTATATATGTAGTGGTGGGATGTAACAAAGTACATGTACTTCGTTACTGCACTTAAGTACAAACCGGATTCAAAAAAACTTGGGACACTAAACAAATTGTGAATAAAAACTGAATTCAATGATGTGGAGCGGCCAACATCTAATATTTTATTCAGAATAAAACACAAATCACAGATCAAAAGTTTAAACTGAGAGAATGTATAATTTTAAGGGAAAAATCTGTTGTATCCAAATTTCATGGCATCAACAAATCCCAAAAAAGTTGGGACAAGTCCATTTTTACCACTGTGTGGCATCCCCCCTTCTTCTTACAACACTCAACAGACGTCTGAGGACAGAGGAGACCAGTTTCTCCAGTTTAGAAATAGGAATGCTCTCCCATTCATGTCTAATACAGGCCTCTAACTGTTATCTTGGGCCTTCTTTGTCGCACCTTCCTCTTTATGATGCACCAAATGTTCTCTATAGGTGAAAGATCTGGACTGCAGGCTGGCCATTTCAGTACCCGGATCCTTCTCCTACGTAGCCATGATGTTGTGATTGCTGCAGAATGTGGTCTGGCATTATCGTGTTGAAAAATGCAGGGTCTTCCCTGAAAGAGATGACGTCTAGATGGGAGCATATGTTGTTCTAGAACCTGAACATAGTTCTCTGCATTAATGGTGCCTTTCCAGACATGCAAGCTGCCCATGCCACAAGCGCTCATGCAACCCCATACCATCAGTGATGCAGGTTTCTGAACGGAGCGTTGATAACAACTTGGGCTATCCTTGTCCTCTCTGGTCCGGATGACATGGCATCCCAGTGTTCCATAAAGAACTTCAAATTGTGACTCATCTGACCACAGAACAGTCTTCCATTTTGCCACACTCCATTTTAAATGACCCCTGACCCAGTGCAAACATCTGAGCTTGTGGAGCTTGCTTAGAAATGGCTTCCTCTTTGCACTGTAGAGTTTCAGCTGGCAACGGCGGATGGCACGGTGGATTGTGTTCACTGACAATGCTTTCTGGAAGTATTCCTGAGCCCATTCTGTTATTTCCTTGACAGTGGCATTCCTGTTTGAGGTGCAGTGATGTTTAAGGGCCCGGAGATCATGAGCATCCAGTAGAGTTTTACGGCCTTGACCCTTACGCACAGCGATTGTTCCAGATTCTCTGAATCTTTTGATGATGTTATGCACGGTTGATGATGATAATTTAAAAGTCTTTGTTATTTTACGCTGGGTAACACCATTCTGGTATTGCTGCACTATCTTTCTGCGCAACAATGGTGGAATTAGTGATCCTCTTACCATCTTGGCTTCTGAGAGACACTGACACTCTGAGAAGCTCTTTTTATACCCAATCATGTTGTCAATTGACCTAATTAGTGTTAATTGGTCTTCCAGCTGTTCATTATATGCTCAATTTCCTTTTTCCAGCCATTTATTGCTACTTGTCCCAACTTTTTTGGGATTTGTTGACACTGTGAAATTTTGAATCAACATATTTTCCCTTTAAAATGTTAAATTTACTCAGATTAAACTTTTGATCCGTCATCTATGTTATATTACGAATAAAATATTGACATTTGCCATCTCCACATCATTGCATTCAGTTTTTATTCACAATTTGTTTAGTGTCCCAACGTTTTTGGAATCCAGTTTGTACATTTTCATGTATCATTACTTTACTTAAGTAGAATTAAACGTGGGTACTTTCGACTTTTACTTCACTACATTTTACATTAAGTATATGTACTTTCTACTACACTACATTTCTATAATGCGTTGTGTTACAAGTTACATTGATGTTGCAGTTTTTGTTAAATTTGTTCATTAGTTTGAAAGTAACCAATGATGAGAGGGGAGTTGGTCCATTGAATCACTGCAAAGTGGTCAAGTAAAGTTAGACCCACCTTCAAGAAGAGCTGGACCAATAACATGGTATATTCTAGTATATACGTCATTGAGCTGAGAGCACCCACAGCACCACTAACACACCCAAAATGGATTCCACCGTGGAGAGTCAACCAGAAGATACGTGCCACCCATGGCCTTATTGAAAGACTACTGAAAGACTATTGGAAGACTATTGGAAAACTAATGGAGGACTATTGAAAGACTATTGAAAGACTATTGGAAGAGTATTGAAAGACTATTGAAAGACTATTGAAAGATTATTGAAAGATTACTGAAACACTATTGAAAGACTATTGAAAGTTTATGGAAAGACTATTGAAAGATTACTGAAACACTATTGAAAGACTATTGAAAGACTATTGAAAATTTATTGCAAGACTATTGAAAGATTACTGAAACACTATTGAAAGACTATTGAAAGATTATTGAAAGCCTGTTGAGTACAGAAGGACAGATTATCTCTCCCAAAAGAGCCAGACTGGACTCAATAAACTTTGAAAACCAACTTAGTCTGAACTTACCATACCATACCAATTTATTTATAGAGCACTTAAAACAGCAACAAGGCCAACCAAAGTGCTGTACAAAAGAAAACAAACATGCACAGCGGACAGGAAAACATAAAATAGAAATACAGATACAAATAGCAGCAGAAGCTAACTAAAATGGCCAACAGAGTAGAGAACAGACCGGACCAAAACAAATCACACCGTGTTAAAGGCAAGCGAATAGAAGTGGGTCTTCATGCGAGACTTAAAGACTGAGAGTGTGGGAGCCTGCCGGACACTCAGTGGCAACTCATTCCACAGTCGTGGACCTGCAACAGAGAAAGCCCTGTCACCTCTGAGCTTACGACGGGTTTCTGGGACTGAGAGAAGCATCTGGTCTGCTGACCTCAGAGAGCGCGGTGGGACATATGGCTGCAGAAGATCAGTGAGATAGGATGGGGCAGAACTGTTCAGTGATTTAAAAACATACATGCGAATTTTGAATTGGATCCGAAGGTGAATGGGTAGCCAGTGCAGGGAGGCCAAAACTGGTGTGATGTGCTCTCTATAGCCTGTACCAGTTAAAAATCGGGCTGCAGCATTTTGGACCAGTTGTAGACGAGCAATGGAGGACTGACTGATTCCAAACAGAAGTGAATTGCAGTAATCAAGCCTAGATGTTATGAAGGCGTGGATCACTGTCTCGAGGTTCTTTTTGGAGAGTATAGGCTTCAGCTTAGACAGCCGTCTCAGCTGAAAAAAACAGGATTTGACCATCATGTTTACGTGACTGTTGAGTTTTAAGGACGGGTCCATTATCACCCCCAGATTAGTGACCTTTTGTTTCTCTAGCGGGGCTAGAGAGAAAAGGTCAATGTCATGGTTCATGAGTGAGCCACTGGGATGGAACAGCATGACCTCAGACTTCTTCTCATTGAAGCTTAAGAAGTTTAAAGCCATCCAGTCCCGGATGTCAGCCAGGCAGTCAAGAAGAGGCTGAATAGAGCGTGTGCCTCTGTGCCTCAGGGGGAAGTAAATTTGGCAATCGGCGTAGAAATGAAAGGGTATGTTGTGTTTGCGGAAGATAGCACCTAGTGGCAGCAGGTATAAAGAAAAGAGATGGGGACCGAGGATGGACCCCTGCGGTACCCCCCACTGGAGCGCTGTCGATGCCGAACTAAAATATTTGATATTGACACAGAAGGTTCTGTCAGAGAGGTAGGACCCAAACCATTTAAGGGCTGACCCTGTGATGCCCACCCACTGCTCCAGTCTAGAAATGAGGATCTTGTGGTCGATGGTGTCAAAACTTGAACAAGAAATTCTTGCTGCAATATTAAATGCGATCATGCGATGTTAGGAGACAAGAGATGTCTCCAAATGTCTCGACGCTCAGGTCCAAGTTTTGAAAATGTTGTCAGGAAATTAAAATATTGTTCATTATTGACCCATTACAAGGTTGACTAGACAGTATTTTAACTAGAGTTGATGACAAACTGGAGTTGAAATGATCAGAGCCTGTTCCTTTGAGTCTAATGCTCCTTTTTTCAGACAAACGACTTTTATGTAAATGTGTTTACTGCAGTTAAAATGACACAATGGTTTTACTTTGTGTAAATAAAAACTTTCATAATCATTCCTCTTTCTTATTTTTCTTAATGACATTTAACTCTGCATGTCATCCCTGATGATGCACAGAATCACAAGTCCAAGTGTGAACTGTGCCACAGAGTAAACACAATAAAAACATGAATTATCTGCAGCATTCCAACATTTTTCAGTCAGGTCATCTGGATAGTTTTTTTTTTTGTGCTGAAACGTTTCGCCTTCAATCTGGATCGAAGGCGAAACGTTTCAGCACAAAAAAAGAAACTGTCCAGATGACCTGACTGAAAAATGTTGGATTGTATACCTGGATTATTGAGCATGGACTTTATCTGCAGCATTGTTCATTAAAATGACTCAACACTATTAATGTATTACAGAAAATATACATATGGTCAA